GATACCTGTGATTTCTGGCTGGAGCTCAGACTCACAGAGAAAGCCTGGACATGTTCAACTTCCTTGTAGTTCAGCGCTCAGCCCTGAAAACTATCGAGTAAAAAATGCAGCTCATCAGAAACTGTTTTGATGCACTTGGAGTTAAAGCTGAAACTGTTCGATTGTAGACAGACAAAAGGCAAAACACCTGCAGCAGGAAGAGGCCTGTTGTTACGAGGCTGATGTTTAGAAGGTTTAGCGTCTTAGCTTAGCATGCTGACATTAGCTAATTAACACTAAACACAGTAAACACAGTGCTAGCATATAACGGAGGCTGATGGACGTGTCTCTAGTTTGGCAGGTTTTAGCTGTGTTTGTTTTTTGTTTTCTGTCTTGTTTGCGTCATTTAGTGTCGAGTTTTTGCCGTCTGGCGTCTCGTTTGCATCTTTTTTGTGTTAAATTTGTATTTTTTGTTTTTATTTGTGTTGTTTCGTGTTTGGTCGGTTTTGTCGTTTTATGTTAAACTAGTAAACAAATTAAAACTTTGACCTGAAAAGTCAGGGCACAGAAAATACGACGCACTCAGCAGGGCTCATCCTCTGAGGACCACGAATCTTACATCTCATCATCTTATTTACATTGTTTGAAGTCTTTTATTGTGTCATTTTGCTTTTTGTTTTTTGTTGTTTATGTCTCGGTTGGTGTCTCGTCTGTGTCGTTTGCTTCACCGTCACTCTGCAAACACTCCAGATCGTTTCTTTAAGACGATCACCATCATCTCAGGTGGAGCTAAGCCCAGGACGCAGTGATGGTGTCCCTGCAAAACAGCGACGTGGGAATTGTTTTGTTTTTTAGCAAAACTTATCATTTTCAGAGTGTAGGTTGCTGCTCAGAGGTTGTTGTTTCCTGTAGAAAAGGACATTTTATAAACACGCTGATAGTGAAAGTAGAAAACGAAGCTGTATTAGCGCCAGTATGCTAACGTCAATGACTTCTCAGGCTGCATGCACAGAAATGCCTGCTGCTTACAGCTACACCGGTGGGAAACTCCAGACTTAAAGAAAGAAGCTAGTTTATGATCACGTTGGAGTTTTCTAACACTGAGAGGAAGGAATCTATGGATCACTGTGGAGCTGTGGGAGTGGACTACGTCACACTGCAGCTAAACCAGACTTCAGTGGATTGTGGGCGGCTGTAGCTCAGGTGGTGGAGCAGGTCGTCCTCTGATCACAAGGCTGGTGGTTTAACCCCCTCTACAGCTGAAGTGTCCTTGGGCAAGACACTGAACCTGAAGTTGTTCCCAATGGCAGGCGAGCGCCTTGCATGGCAGCTCTGTGGTGTATGAATGGCTGAATGAGAAAACACAAGTGCAGACCATTTGCCGTTTGTATTAAATATGTGACTACCACCCAAAGTTCAGTGTAGTCTCGCTTAGCCGGCTCTCGTGCAGAATGGTCCGACTGCACTTCACCATCAGTCTGCAAACGCTCCAGATTGTCTTTATAACAATTAGAGTTGTTGGTGAAGCTTAGTCCTGAATGCAGTGACGACTACATTACTGCAGGATCCAAACCTTTAGCAGCCTTCTCAACGCGTAGGTTGTTGTTTGTGGCTGTAAAGTCGACTTTAAAACACCCAGATAGTGTGAGGAGATTAAAAAAAAAACACAATGAGATGAACAAACTTCTACCCAAAGTTTACCTCTTAACACACTAATTTGGGCCTGAACTCATCTGAAGCACCAGACATGTGCCTGGAGCCTCCTGACAGATGAGAGCAGATAGAGCGTCCTGTTAACCGCCGGCCGGACGTCTGTCTTTGCTTCCACCGACTGATTTGGTGTCACAGCGTCAGCATGTGCACCGACTCGCCGCCTCCTAACGGCCTTTTTCTGATGCCCATTTGTTCGCTCTTCTCCTCGTCTTCCCGCTCAGCTGTCGCTCTGCAGTCAGAGGTCAACGGCTCGGAGCCAGGTGCATGCTGGGACAGCTGCCGCCGGATTTACGCCCGCCGTCGCCAGCTGCAGATGTGGCCTTTTAGCGCTGGCCAAGTTTCAAACACGTAGCAGCGCGAAGCTTGTTAGATGAAACTGAATAACCCGTAACACCAGCTTCATCCATCCATCCTGACTTTATTTACGTTTAAAGACAGTTCAGGCTTCTGTTGGAGAAGCAGGGAAGTTAAAGGAGANTGATGGTGGAACATCTTTCTACATCTGATGGTGGAACATCTTTCTACATCTGATGGTGGAACATCTTTCTACATCTGATGAGCAGAGAGGAAAAGTGTGGAGACATGGAGATAGTTCAACATCTGCAGGACGAGGAGACAAAACAACGGAGGACAGAGACAGAAAATGACCACAAAGAGACACAAAATGGCAAAAATTAGACACAAGACAAGAAAACAAGACACAAATTGAGAAAAGGACGACAAACAAATGAGACAAACGAGGCGCAAAATGAAACAATATCAGACAAATGAGACAAAATAAGAAAAACAGTGAGACACAAAATGAACACAATGAGACAAAGCTGTCCCACAAACACAGAAAACAACCGAAACAAGACAAAAACTCAAATCTTGTTGAGGTAAAATGTTTCTGACAGCATTTCCTCAGTGAGTTCCTCTCCTTCAGCTGCCTGCTTTAACATTTTCACCTCATCAACGGATCAGAGACGTTCTTTGGTCTTCATATTTACTGTCTCCTACCAGCAGACAGACACCAGCGACTCAGGACTTCGATTCCTGTTTTCTCATTAAAACTGTCTCCGGTGTCGTCTCGTGTTCGTCGCTGTCAGCTGTTGCTCTCCAGAGGTGCAAAGAATTATAGATTTATAGGCGGTGTTGAGGAGAAGCTGGACGAAGGAAGGAATTTATTTCTGAACATTCTGCTTGAATCACATCGGAGCCTTTGTTCAGTTTGTTTGGTGAAGTGTGTCCTTTTGTTAAAGCAGTGAGCCACGCTACACGCTACACGCTAACCCCAGGACGCTGCTGGAAGGTGTTGTAGCTTCAGGGATTAAATGCTCTGTGAACTCTGAAGGATGCAGCAGAGTTCAGTTTTATTTACCAGGTAACCAGTCAGATGGTCCTGTCGGGCAAAGCCACATATTTTTTACATCTTATCAGGGTTTGGTTGAAAGAATAAAAAACAAACAAAGACCAACACAGATCAGAAACATACTGAATACCTGCTAATCAGCTACACGGACAGAAAGTAAACGAAGCTTAAAGTTGTGTGTTTCTTGTTTTAGGTCAACCTGAACCTCTGTCAATGATCCGACTGCAGAAACCGTTCCTGTTCCCGCCTCCAAAGACAGAAACCACGACACAGCATCAAACACAACCGAAT